CTAATGCTAACAATTACCGGCCTGTTAGTCTAACCTGTATCTGCTGCAAAGTAATGGAGGCCATAGTTAAGAAAGCAACAATGAAATTCCTGGAGCAGGGTCATTAACTCTCAGACCTGCAACATGGCTTCAGACAGAACCGCTCGGTCCTTTGCAGTTTATTGCTCTCGACGGAGCAGTGAACTCGCGCACTGGACGAGGATGGTAGGGTCGATGTCATCTACACAGACTTTAAGAAGGCATTCGACAGCGTCCCACGCAAACGCCTTAACTACAAACTTTTTGAAATTGGGATAAGAGGAAGGCTGCTGACATGGATAACAGATTTTCTTACCGTGAGATCACAAACCGTGTGCGTCGAGGCCTCAAGGTCAACTCCTATCCCCGTTCTGAGTGGTGTACCCCAGGGCTTCGTCTAAGGGCCGTTGCTATTCCTGGTTTACATTAACGACTGCGTCGACGACCTGGAACGCAGCGTCATCATGTTTGCTGATGATGTTAAGCTGTGGAGAACCATCAGATCTGACGCAGACAGGTACGTGCTTCAAGGCAGTCTCAACCGCCTGAACAGTTGGTCAGCTCGTTGGCTCCTTAATTTCAATGTGGACAAATGTTTCGTCCTAAGACTCCGCACCAGGAGGATCAGCAAGGAAGACGATTCCTTTCAATACGTCCTGGGTGGTCAGCCCCTTTGAAATGTTGTGGAGCAGAAAGACCTCGGTGTCCTAATGACATCCTCGATGAAACCATCATCACAGTGTCAAAAGGCGGCCAAAATTGCGATAAGGATGTTATTTACGCTGAGGCGAGGATTTGTGCAGATCGATAAATAGCTGCTATGGACCATTCGTCCAGTCTCACTTAAAGTAGGCAGTCCAAGCCTGGCGACCGTGGTTGAAGAAAGATTATCAACGACTGGAAAGAGTACAGGCGATGGCTACGAAGATGATCAAGAATCTTCATCACTTGCCTTACAAAACCAGGCTGACCGAACTAAATCTGTTTCCTCTAAATTATAGGCACCTGCGCGGCGACCTCATTTAAACCTACAGGATTGTCAGAAGCCGTGAGTGTGCCCTAGACTTTGATGAATTCTTCGAATTGGCCGGGAGTGGCCGTCTGCGTGGTCATCCCTTCAAACTGCAGAGGAAGCTGGCTCATTCGGACGTCCGACGGAACGCCTTCTCTCACAGGGTAATTGGGGCATGGAACGGACTCCCTGATGCGGTGGCACTTTCCGAAACTGTCGAATCGTTTAAGTGTAGACTAGATGCTCATTTGCTGAGAAACTACTGTACATATAATCAGGATTGTTTTAGCGGCGGCAGTTTGCGCCTTGCTCACACTTACCGCTAACATTTGAATTTCCGCATTTGCTGATGTAATTGATGATTCTATTTCTGTTTATCGATATTAATACGGAGCTGAGGGACGAAAGCCTCATTCATTTAATAAACTGACTTAAACTGACTTGACACTCGGGTGTTTTAGAATTTTCCCAGAATTTTTTTATCTTTCTTGACCCTTCCTAGTTTTTGCTGCCTGCTACGCTCTTCTGCAGTCACCACGTTTTTTCTTTAGCAATATACTCGTTAGATTCTGGTCCAGACGTATATCTGGGCTCTGTGTTTTCCTGGCGAAGATTCGTGCCCTGCTAGACGGTACTTGGATATAGTGTTTCGCAAATTTTCGAAGAAAGTTCCTCTGCCATTGCGAAAATTTCGGACTCCAACTTGAGATGTACACTCTAGACTGCCTAACTTTTCGCACACATGAGCCTGAGCTTCCGGCCAAATGTTTTTGAAACTTTTAAGTAATGGGCATATAGCTTGTACTTTTTGTTATATTTAAAACCACGCGCGTCACTGCAACCTCTAAAAGCCAATTAAAATAATTGTTAGTGAGCTAGAGACCAGAGTGCCAGACACGAGTCCAACTAAATAAAGGATAATTAAAATGACGTTACATTAGATAACTTGTATCAAATCCTAAATGCAAGCGATTTTGGAGGAACCAAAAAGCTTGAAGGAATGTAAATCTCCCGGTCTCGATGAGATTCCTGCAAAGCTGCTCTTTGAGCTTGCCAGACAGCTGGCCAGACCATTGTCCTTTCTGTGCCAGGATTCGTACGATGCTGGAATCTTCCTCACAGACCGGAAGAGGCCCACAGTACACCCCTTTGTAAAAGCTGTGGTCGTGCTTTTGCGACAAACTACAGGCCCGTAAGTCTGACATCATTCTGCTACAAAGTAATGAAGAAACCCATCAAAAGGGAGCTGATGGCTTATTTGGAAACCAGCAACCTCTTGTCCAATGCACAATACGGTTTCCGTAGGGGGAGATCATGTGTAACGAACTTGCTATGCACAATTCAAAATTGGATAAGAGCACTCGATGCACAACACACTACGCATGTGACCTATATTTATTCCCGGAAGGCGTTTGACAGTGTTCCGCACCAGTGTCTACTGTACAGGTTGAGAGTCCTGGGTATTAGCGGCAGACTTCTCAAATGCATCAAGAATGTCCTCATCGGCCGTTCCCAAATTGTCTGCGTAGAACGACAGCAATCAAGGCGCACATTCATAAAGAGTGGAGTCCCACAAGGCTCGGTGCTCGGACCAACCCTCTCTCTCTTTTTCATCAATGATTGCGTAGATGGGTTGGACTGTGATAGTGCCCTGTTTGCAGATGACATAAAAATCTGGAAAGTCATCCAGAATGCTGCCGAATAGACCAACCTCCAAGAAAATCTTTGTCGACTAGACGACTGGTTCCGCAGATTGCTCTTGTCCTTCAATTTGAACGAATGCGCCATACTGCGTCTCGGAAATCAGACCCCTGGTATGCGGCAATACCATCTGGACGGAATGCCACTTCGAGAGTTAGAAACGCAGAAAGATCTCAAAGTCTGGGTTGCAGACCGCCTAAAACGCTCTGCACAATATTTTAAGGCGGTTAAGGCCGCAACTTTAATGCCATACGCTATCAAGCGGTCATTAGCAGTTTTCGATGAAGACTGCTTCTCCAAATTCTTCGGCACGTTTGTAGGGCCGTTTCTCGAATATGAAATTCAGGCCTGGATGCCGTGGACGCAACAGGATTACATTCTGCTCGAAAGGATGCAGAGGCGAGCAACAAAATTAGTAGGAGTTCAAGGTACACTGCCATAGAAGGCCGCCTAAATAACATTAATCTGCATCTTCTGAGTTATAGACAGTTGCGCGGAGACTTGATACAAACTTTCCGTATCGTGCGTGGCTTGGACTGCGCCCTCCGGCACGACGACTTTTTGCAACTCGTCACTACGACTAGCCTCCGGGGACATCCCGTCAAACTTCGTGTGCCCCAAGGTAGATTGAATGCACAAATGCATTTTTTCTGCAACTGTGCGTGGGACCGTAGAATAACCTGCTCGAGGCGACTGTCATGTCTCAATCTGTGAAGACATTTAAATGTCGGCTTAACAGACATATGCTTCAGCAACAAGCGTACCATGCTACCTTGTAACCATAAAGCCAGTGACCTATGTGACTCGAGGTCTGCATTCACTTCATGCTGTAATTTCTTCATATTTTTGCTTATTTTATCGATTTTTACGTACAAATACGGAGTTCAAAGGCGTAAGCCTACTTCCCTCAAATACACTGACTGACTGAACTAGAGACTGCAGAGTGTGCATCCCAAACTCGAATAAGTAAACTACATATCGATAACCGTTCAAAGGAAAGTTTGGTCGGGATTAACTTCCCGAGGTAGTATGACGTGGGGAAACCCAGTATCTGTTCAGGTGCCATGATCTCAACAGGCTTCTACGCGTGCGTTCGTCTAATCCATGAACAATCCCTCGAACTCCAAAGAAAAATTTCCTTCACTGGGATGAGCCACAAGAGGCATGACGTTGAATGCCTGATGGAATTTGTTTGCCCGTTTCTATATTGAAAAACTCATTGAAGCTAAGATCGCCGAGTTCAGCTGACATATATAGTCTATGAAAATTGTCGTGATTCTTGGAGGATAACGACATCACGCAACCAAATTGCACAGGAAAGTGGAAAATTTTTGTTAGGCTAATTCTCCTATCTTCAAAGCATTCATCATGGCTTAAGCACTGTTAAAAACAAAATATCCCAACGAGTGCCCAACCACGACCATGAACATAAGTATTTCAATCATTCATAACTACCCCAAGCCAGCGGTTGCGTTTGCATTTTCTCCCTCTGGCGTACGGACAAGCCCTTTACTTTGACGATCACAGCCGATCCACCCCCGCCCCTAAATTGTAACTGCTTATGTAATCACTATTGGGTGCCATTTTTTCGTATGTCTGTACGTTGTCCTCGCGTCGTCGCTTCCTGTTTATATCAACCGATTCCCCTAGGTGGACAAATTTCTGATGACAGTGCATCCCCATTGCGTAATATTGTACTTAATCTAATCCCCTCCATTATTTGTGTTGGCATTATGCCTCTTGCGTGTTCCGCAACTTTCATCTATTCTTGTAATATTAGCAGATGTACGGTGGTCGGCTTCTACTTCCATTTCTGCTCAGAATCTGCGCCGAATCTAAGCCGAGGTTTAGAATAATCTACGCCGAATCTGCGCCTAGTTTGTCACTCAAATCGCCTCAGAATCGGCACAGAGGCTCGGCACAGAATCGGCGCAGATGATCGGCACAGAATCGGCGCATAGGCTCGGCACAGAATCTGCGCCGAAAATTTCTAAGCTCGCGTTGAAATCGTGCGGAACCCCCCTTTAATTTCTCAAAAGTCCCACTGCTTAGCTGTTTCCCCTATTTTCATGTCCATAATGCTAATCTAATATCCCGTAAATACTTTGGATGAAGACGGGAAATAAGTTTGTTGGTTATTAAAATTTTTTGTAGAAAAATAATATGTACAAAATAGATATGTAGTTAAAAGTGTTAGAAATCTAGTACAAAATAGATATTACGTAAAAAAGTATCAATGTCTTTCATCAATCGGTCATAACAGATCACTCTAAGGCTGTGACGAAGAGCCTGACGGTCCCGGACGAGGAGTATCTTCGTCATCCTCGGCAGTGTCTAAAAAAGTGCACTCAAGTTAATGTGTGTCATAGTAAATAATAGATGCATGAGGTCTGTTTATGAAATGGTAACTAACCGTCCGGTGGGCGTGACGAAGATAGCTTAGTAGTCCGCTTTTGTAGCCGGTCGTAGGCCCTTCTGAACATTAAACGGAAGCATTTCTCTACCTCATGCCGATCTGAAGGGTGATCGGAATTCCACCTATTGAACACCTCTATGTAGAGGGTTGGTAAATGGGAAAATTATGTTTTAATACCTAGGACGAGTGAGTAGGTTGGGGAGCCGAAGAACGCGCTCTTCCCTTGTTGTCGACCGTAAAAAGTCAAATAATGTGTTATTTCATCTTGAAATAGGGCACTGAACACGCGGTCGACGAATGCGCTCAATGTCCGGCCTCCAAAACTACCTAAGTGGCTGACCTATCCGAGAAATAAGTGGGTCATAAGACACATACCATCTGCTGCCGAAATTCGGTGTCTGTCAGTTTATTTGTAAATCTTTCTAAATCACTCAAGCAAGCCATTCGTCTAAAAGGTGCAGCCACAGACGTTGAAGTGGATAAGGAAATGGCTGCACTGGCACGTCCTTCGGCCTGAGCATCCAACTTCAACTCAACCCGCTCTAGTCGCTTAGTATTCTCTTTACTATTATTTATCAGCCACCGTAGCACGCCTCTAAATTTCCGCCACATTTCGCGGGAGGACATGTGTCTGCTTTTGCTTTCGGTTCTACTCATCTTATGCCCTACGAAAGGCATAATAGAATGAAAGGTAATTACCTTTGGATTTAGGGGAGGCCACCAATGGCAATGTAGAGCTGGATTCGGATTTTTCTGATTGCGAGTGCTGTAGACAACGGAAAATTATGTAATTAACATTCATACAGATGTCGTCGAGAGGTTTAATTCATTTTCCCACATGTCATCGTCGTATGGGTTCCTTGCTGACCGCCTGGGTCTCTTCTTTTTAGGGCTTTCTTCCTCTGAAGACATGATACTCTACAACCCAACAGGAAAAGTAGAGTGTGGGTAGGATAAGAATATGTAGCTAATCACTGCCTCCCTTCACTGCCCACGAAACAATAGCTGAGGCACTGTTGGGTTGTAGGTTTCGTGGGTAGTGACCGAGTTACGGTGAGAAGTACAGTGAGAACAGGAGCAACTTGCGTGAATAAGAAGAAATGGATCCGTCCAACTCAGTCATCGAACATCCGAAAATGTCCAGTCATCAGAGTCCCAGCGGTCATTGATTTCAATCAGAACAAAGTGATCCTCCAAGGGGAAGCAGGCACACTTCCGTAAGGATGGCGGCAATGGGCATGCGTTAAGTACGGTCCCCAACCTGGCTTTAAAAATTTTAATGTTTGATGAGTTAACAGGATACTCAAAGTAATCTTCCACATTTTCACATTCGACATATACAAATCCTACATCTCCAGCCGGATAACGTACTATGTTCCGAATGCAAATCAAACGACCATCAATTGCTATTGATCCCTCCGTTGGATTTGTACCTATAAGACATCTCTGTTTCTGAATCGATCCATATTGTGTACACAAGCCACCCGTTGTCGGCAGTGGACCGTTACTGTGCTCACTGTTAAAAGTCCATTCCAGTGGACATTGTGATGGACACCGATCGGCCTGCAGCTCTCCTAACCTGCGCATTATTTGCTGAAGTGGTTGTGACGGTTTCCTCAGCATACGTTTTATTTTACCTAGAAAGCTCTCGAAGGGGAATTAAGAGAAGCTATCAAGCGGACCGTGTCTTAAAACATCGTCCGGTAGGTGGACAATGCTATGAACATTGTACACCATTTCAGATTTGCCGTATAAATCGGGAAATCTGTCAACGAACATCTTTAGTAGCCTACGACTATAGGGCACCCAATGTCTGCATGAATTAGGGCGAACTAGACAACGTATTGCTGTGAACAGCAGTAGAAAATGTTTCCAGTACTTTTTACGAAGAACACCTCTAAGGACTACTATTCCAGTGTGTAGCAGGAACTGACGAAGTTCCGTACCCTTCCATGTATCCCAATCGTTTAAAGACCTGGCCCGCTGTGAGAATTCCCGCGGCAGGAATCGATTTAGCGATTTTAACCTATCATTAATTGTGCTAACTTCTGCTTTTGACAACCGGAAGACTTTTTCCCAAGGACTTCTGAGCCACAAGTTAAGCAGCCTTCGCATAACGCCCAGGTAAACTAAATGAAGAGGATCTAGAGGAAACGAACTTATCATGCCAACGTCGCATGCAAGCAATGGCGAAACTCCTATACGATGACAGTCATCGGCAGTGTCTAGGAAATCTTCATCCGCCCTGGCACGTTCAGATACGCTGTCATACACTACCTTATCTATGTATTCACCTCTAACACAGCATCTCCCACACCCATAATAAGCATTAACGTTTTTAATTTGCTTTATAAAAGCCCGAGCAGGCGCATCACAAATTACAGCGCCCAAGCGAAATCGCAGTGTTCGGTCGAGAGCATCGACACGCAGACCTGACCTATTCAGTGATAATAGCTCGCCTGTCAACGATTTGCAGAACGATTGCACATCTGAGGGCTTACCAAAGCCGCAATAAATCCCCACAACAAATATTTCACTGATAAATGGCTTCATTATCCTACCTAAGATTGGCCAAAACTCCTTTTTGGTTTTCCTATATATAGGTAACCCATCAATAGCTAAATATGCAACTACTTCATCCCCCTTAAAATGCATGGAAGAGACCCGTAACTATTCAGTTAACTGCTTTACAAGTCCAAAATGGACGTACTCACCACTGCCCATTGGCGTCAGCGTTACGGAATTGCCTGGCCCACCCAGCAGTGTTCGCGCGTCCGAGGGAAGATCTGGCGACAGCCTTCTAATAATCTTCAGAAGACTAGTCAAATGAACGAGAGGTATGTGTGACTGTACCGCCCACGACTGAAGAGCATCTCTTACGCTTGGCTCTTCAACAGGGGAATCTGTTGACAGGGTCGCTATGGACTCTACAGCTGTACCTTCGTCGGGTTCCGTGTTCACTGGCGTTTTGCAATTGGGAAAACCCGTTTCCTCGTCAGCAGAGGAAGAATCTGTCCAATTGGATGAGCTGTACGACGACAAAAACCCAGGGATGTCGATACTGAGTCGGACGGATAGATTTCTCGTATATTCTCCGCAATTTGCTGAAATTGCTTCTTCACAGCAGCATCAACACGTCTCCTTAATGTCCTCTTCAAAATTTTCATCGACATTTACAAGAAAAAGAACCAGAAAAGGAACAGAAAGGGTTATAAAACGCGTCAGGTAGTAAACACGGTCAGAGCAGCAAGAGTGCGCGTGCAGAGGCGTGAGAGAGCATAAAGTGGCGTGTCCCAGCCGTCGCGCCAACGCATACGACACGGCCGATCGATTTGCCGATAAGCATGCACGCATTCTTTTGCGCCCTTGGCGACGCAACGGCCGGGGGTCCCAGGAACCAATCAAATTTCAGATACGATTGAGTGCCGAGGCTCTAAGTAAGAATCGGCTTTCCCTACTATTAGGGTTTTCTCATGTTTTACTGGGCTGAAATGAATGCGGTCCAATCAAAGGTGGGCTTGTGACCGCAATGCTGGGCCCACCTGCCGAATCGTCGACAGTAGGGACAATTAGCCTGGGGATTCTGGCGTTCACCCATTGACTGGCGTTGTGTCCGACGGCTGGATGGGCAGTGCTCAGCCACTGCAAAGAGATAGGTTGAGGCTAGCTGACGTTGGGCCACTTCCGCAGCTTCGTAACCGAGTGCCACTTCCAGCGCTTTCTGTAGCGAGGTATACTGCTTGCGCACAAATTTGGAGTACAGTTCGGTGTTCCGCACACCTAGAGTAAAGCGTTTGAGAAACTCCATCTCACGCCGGCCGGGGGACTCATTTGGGAAGGCCCTGAGGGCTAACTCGCGTAAGGCCCCGGCTTACGTGTCGACTGACTCTGTCGTTAACTGTCGTCGGCTCCATAAGGCTTCGAGAGCCAGGGAAGGTGCCGGTCCGTGGTCAAACAAATCGCTAAGAGTCTTCAATATTTCGCTGACGGGGACATCCAGCGAGACTCCCGTGGCCATTACCTGTCGCGCTGCCGAATCGTCCAGAAGCGAGACTAAGTACGACCCAGCATGTTTGAAAGGGACGGCGCGAAGAAAATTTTGGGCACGAAAGGCCCAGAGAGAAAAATCGTCGCCCGGATGGAAGGGATTGGGAGGTCTGAGAGGGGGTCGAGCGAAATCCGCCTCTGTATCTGCTTTCGAGGAAACATACGACGTTATGACGGGCATCAACCCACGTTACAAATTGGTGGCAGCGGTGGGATCATGGCCGCTAAAGATGACGATAACACCCGCACTTCCCCTTTTGAGCTGCCTTCTGATCCTGGGGCATCGGAACCGCCCGTCATAACGTCGTATGTTTCCTCGAAAGCAGATACAGAGGCGGATTTCGCTCGACCCCCTCTCAGACCTCCCAATCCCTTCCATCCGGGCGACGATTTTTCTCTCTGGGCCTTTCGTGCCCAAAATTTTCTTCGCGCCGTCCCTTTCAAACATGCTGGGTCGTACTTAGTCTCGCTTCTGGACGATTCGGCAGCGCGACAGGTAATGGCCACGGGAGTCTCGCTGGATGTCCCCGTCAGCGAAATATTGAAGACTCTTAGCGATTTGTTTGACCACGGACCGGCACCTTCCCTGGCTCTCGAAGCCTTATGGAGCCGACGACAGTTAACGACAGAGTCAGTCGACACGTAAGCCGGGGCCTTACGCGAATTAGCCCTCAGGGCCTTCCCAAATGAGTCCCCCGGCCGGCGTGAGATGGAGGTTCTCAAACGCTTTACTCTAGGTGTGCGGAACACCGAACTGTACTCCAAATTTGTGCGCAAGCAGTATACCTCGCTACAGAAAGCGCTGGAAGTGGCACGCGGTTACGAAGCTGCGGAAGTGGCCCAACGTATGCTAGCCTCAACCCATCTCTTTGCAGTGGCTGAGCACTGCCCATCCAGCCGTCGGACACAACGCCACTCAGTGGGTGAACGCCAGAATCCCCAGGCTAATTGTCCTTACTGTCGACGATTCGGCAGGTGGGCCCAGCGTTGCGGTCACAATCCACCGATTCGCCCCCAGTTTACGTCCGGTAGGTCTGCTTTTAGTGCTGTTAGTCTTCCATCCTTGGCAGTCCTTTCTCGCGGTGCTCGCACACCTTTTACCGTGCCGGGCACCCTTAATGGTCGTATGGTTTCGTTTTTGCTGGATACGGGCGCTTCTTGTTCTGTGATTTGTTCGAACATTCGGTGGGTGAACTACGAACCTTCCCCCCGACTTGCCCAGCTTTCTGCGGCCAACGGCTCTGTTCTCTGTCCGGACGGACAAGCGTGCTGCTCCGTGACCATAGGGGATTTTATGACAGAACACACCTTCGTATGCGCGCGCATCCAGTGGGACGTGATTCTGGGTATGGACTTCCTAGATCGCCATCACGCCTCTTTTGCGCTCCCTCCCCTCAGAATCTGCCTGGACGGCACCGAGGTTTTCCTGGCAGACACCCTCGCAGTGATTAATGACGGACCGTGGTGGATCCCTCTCCTCTCTGGGTCTGTAATTGACGAGTCATCACATCAAACTGTTGTTCGGCTTCTAGATGAGTTTGCCGTTCAATTCGACGTCAATAACAGATCTTTGGGGCACACAAAAGTCCTTCAGCATTGCATTGACACAGCGGACGCCCGACCTATCCGCCAGGCTCCTCGGCGTATCCCTATTTATTATCAAAGGGACCTGGAAAAAATGATTCAAGATATGTTGAACAGAAGTATTGTACGACCATCTTCTTCCCCTTGGGCGTCGCCTATTGTTCTCGTTAAGAAGAAGGATGGGACCCTCCGCTTATGTGTCGATTACCGGCGGTTGAACTCCGTAACCAAACGTGACTCTTTTCCGCTGCCCCGCATCGATAACACCATTGATGCTCTGTCAGGAGCTGCGTGGTTCTCTACCCTAGATCTCGCATCTGGTTATTGGCAGGTTGAAGTTCACCCAGCTGACCGGGCGAAAACGGCCTTTATGGTACCCTCTGGCCTCTATGAGTTCAATATGATGCCTTTTGGCCTGGCGAATGCTCCGGCCACATTTCAACGGCTTATGACAACGGTGCTGCGTGACATAACCCCGACGGCCTGCTTGATTTACCTTGACGATATTATAGTCCACGGAAAGACGGTTGAGGAGCATAATGCACACCTCCGGGAGGTTTTATTGCGACTGAGATGCGGGTCTGGTGCTACGGACAGATAAATGTAAACTTCTGCAGAACCAGACCCTGTTTCTTGGGTACATCCTGTCGCCCTCGGGTATACACCCAGATCCGGGCAAGATATCCCACATATGTGAATGGCCGACACCCAAGACGAGCCAGGAAGTCCGTAGTTTTCTCGGTCTTGCGTCCTATTATCGGAAATTTGTTCGTGGGTTTGCTGGCATCGCCGCACCCCTTCACCGGCTGACCGAAAAGTCTAGACCTTTCCTTTGGACTAAAGAGTGTGAGGCAGCTTTCGATCATCTTAAACGTGTTTTGACATCTATCCTCAGCCTCCCGGATGTTTCTCCATCTGCCGGTGAGTTTATTCTCGACACTGATGCCAGCGATAGAGCCATCGGAGCTGTCCTGTCTCAGCTGACTGCCGACGGTGATGAGGAAGCGATAGCGTTCGCAAGCAGGCAATTGAGCAAACGGGAGCGACGGTATAGCACCGCTCGTCGAGAAATGTTAGCGTTGGTATATTTCCTCAAGTATTTTCGCCTTTACCTTTTGGGTCGCCACTTTGTGGTCCGCACAGACCATAATGCTCTACAGTGGCTGCAAAACTTTTGCGATCCAGAAGGGCAAGTAGCGCGCTGGCAAGAACAACTGCAAGAATATGACTTTATTTGCGTATACCGTCCAGGCGCGAGACACCAGAACGCCGACGCTCTTTCACGACGCCCGACTTCATCCGATGAGGCTGTCAATGCCATTGTGACGGTCGACGACGCGCAACAGTGGGCCATTCTGCAAGCTGAGGATCCGGATTTCGGCGACATATATGACCAGCAGCTTCATGGGTCTCGAAAGCCGACCGGCAGAGAAATGAGAGAAAAGTCCGCCGCAGCGCGAGCACTGTGGGCTTATTGGGTCAGATTGCGCATAAGTGACGGAGTCTTGTTCCTACATAGTGGCGCTAATGAGCCACTGTGACTCGTTATGCCCAAGGCGAAGGTACGAGATACCATAGGCAACATTCATAATCAACTCGGACACGCGGGCCAACGCAAAACAGAAGCAGCTGTTCGCAGGCGCTTTTGGTGGCCGACTATCCATCAGGACGTGATGTCCTACTGCACCGCGTGCCAAGTTTGCGCTCAGATAAAGTCGCCGGTTCCCGCACCACGAGCCCTGCTGCATCCTGTTGCTGTGGACGGACCTAATCACCGGATTGGTGTAGATATAATTGGACCGCTACCGACCACTCGTCGTGGTAACCGTTTCATACTGGTGATGGTTGACTACTTCACCAAGTGGTGCGAGGCCGTACCATTACAAACTCAGGACGCAAAGTCAGTCGCAGCAGCCATCCTCAACGATTTGATTAGCCGTTACGGGGCGCCCACGATAATCCATTCCGATCGAGGCACGGTGTATGAGAACCATCTCCTGGCCGAATTATGCTCGTTACTGCAGATCAAGAAAACACGGACTACTCCTTATCATCCCGAAGGAAATGGACTGGTCGAACGTTCGAACAGGACGATCAAGTGAATTTTATCTGCATTCGTTGATCGCGAGTCATCTTATGCCTGGGACGAACACTTACCGCAGTGCCTGTTAGCGTATCGGACCGCCGTCCACGACTCAACCGGATTTTCTCCCGCGTTGCACCAGCTCGGCCATGAGCTTCGATTACCGGCAGATATTCACTCGCCACTTATACCCGCCGAGTCCCTTAGTATGGGGGAATACACACGAGCTCTCAAAGAAAGACTTGTCACGGTATACAGGCTGGCTGCTGGCAACATTCAAATGGCCCAACAGCATCAGAAAACTTGTTACGACCGACACCGAGCTGGGCCAGAGTATCATGTTGGCGATTCCGTGTTACTGTTCAGACCGCGACCGCCCCTCGGGGCTGCCGCAAAGTTTCACCGGCCGTGGTAAGGCCCGTATACTATTGTTTACCAACCCTTCCCCGACACGTTTGTTCTTCGCGACCCACAAAGACCTTTCGCCGATGTTCTCACCGTCCACTACAATCAGATCAAGCCAGCGCCCGATTGCGGACCACCTCCCGATTCCCCTCTCCCACTTGTCCCCTCCGGTTCCCTTCCCCCGGTAGCGCAGACGGTTGAAATATCTGCATCGAACTCAGGGATAGTAGGCTAGAAACACTGCGGACGGTGTCCTCTTGAAGGGGAGGCAGTGTAACGCAATAAGATTTTACCTAATGTTTGTACATAGTTCCATTCTTTCCTTGTAGGGAGACAGTCAGTGAATGTCCTTGCTGGCCCGACCGAAACCGACACTGACGAGTCGGATGCTTTGAACGGGCTGGAGGAAAAAGCGCGCTTGACTTAAAGTTGTGAACAAGACGAGAATAAACGCGTTTCGATCTACTCACTTCTTTTCCCGTCGTCGCTCATTTGAATGTCGTTGCCTGGTGCTCGCTGTTGCCATTAGTCCCGCCTGCCTTGTAATTCCCTCTTAGGAGCTAGTCTGACCTCGGACATCAACCCACGTTACAGCTCGCGGTCTTCTGTGGTACTGGTGTTGTGGGAGGTTTGGGGTTGAGGGTCATGTGCGCTCGTTATAGAACTGGGGTTACGGAGTCCGAGTTCTT